TATACTGATTCTTTTAGTGAATATTAAAGCGGTGTAAATCCGGTCTTGAATAAACGTAGCCTTTCAATGAGGTGAGCAAGGGGAGGGCTTAAATTAGGAAATGTTGAATTCGTCTTTTTGGTCTATGGATCCGCCATAGAAGTGTAACGTTGCATTCAGTCAGTCGGCGATTTACCCGTAACCACGATACCGCAGCACATTAGGAAACAAGAGTGCCTAGCGCAGTCGTGCATTGTCAGTATTCCACGTTTGACGTGTCCCTTGTACTATTCAAGTCTCCATTAATTGGACCATGGCTACTTATGCTTCCTACAGACACATTGAGTTGGACAATATAGGATGTGGAAAAAAAAAATAATTATAGAACTTTAATTTTAAAAAGAAAAACATAGAATTTAAAATTCAATAATTACTTATCAAAATTAATTGATAATTTAATATGCTTTTAATATTATTCAATATAATTTTAAATAAATTCATAAATATTTTTCTTTAAAAATGTTATTATTTCTTTCTAAAAAATGTAGCTCTTTTATAATTTAATTTATTTTTCAATTTCTTTTTTACGTGTAAAAAATATATTTAATAATATAAATTATTTTTATAAATATGGTTTTTGTAAATTATATTTATTTTAATTGTTTTAACATTAAAAAATTGGACAAATTGGTTTTTCTGAATATTTTGTTTATTGGTCAACAAATTATGATTTATATATTTATAATTATATTCATCAACGCACATGAACCACTGTTATAGATTAGGTTTTAACTCTTATCTTTGATATTAATATTATAACTCACAATTTAAAATTATATTTGAGTTATTCATACGAACATTTTTAGAATTGTATTTTACCATTTTTTTATAAGTGGAATTTATCAACCAAATAAAATTCTAATAATAATATACAACTGATTGATGCTATTTACGAACCATTATTGTTTAATAAATTATTTATTACGAAGTTTCTTAATGAAATCCTTATGAATTATTACTATTGGTGTTTTTATAAATATTTACCTTTATATACTATTAATATATATATTTTTTATAAAAATATTTTATTTCTTTATTTTTATTTGTATAATTGTTAATTTAATTACTAAATTTTTCGATATTACGTAGGTAGAAACTAACGAGTTACTACAAACCATAATATATTTAGGAATACTTCAACGGAACAATACACACTATTTTCTTAACATTTAATATATTTTTGAATTAAATCTGTTTTAATATTAATGTTCAATGTGGTTTAGGGTCTAGTAATTAGAAAATAAGATACAAATTATTTAAACAAATAACACTAAAATTTACTTTAAAAAAATTGTATGTGTATTTTCAAATACTATTAATTAAAAAAATTTTAATTCTTTTTTGTTTTGTTTGAAAAATAATTTCATAATCTTCACTTTATATACATAATTTCTTTAAATTAATTTATTGATTGAGTTATACTTGTATATTATTATTTATTATTTATTCATTCTTGAATACATATATATATATATATATTTAAATAACAAAATATTTATTCTATTATTGATAATTTAGATTTAATATTTGTGAGGTTAGCATTTTAGGTATTTTGTTCTCGTAATCAAGAATAGATTATATTATTTAAGAGAATTATTTTGGTCTCACAATTTAGTAACGTGTTTATCATGAAGATTTTTTTCTTTAATTTGTTTCACTCTCATTCAATGTAGAACGTTTGGAAAGAATATGTTTTTCTTGAGAATTTGAACCATTTAATTTTCCATTAAATTCTAAAAGTATTACAGTATTCGTCATAAAAAAGTGATTCATGTTTTTAGATTGTGTGCATGGGAATAATAACAATACGCACGAAAAGTACACATCAATTTCATAAGCGCAGACTAGGAAGTGGATTTTGGTGTCTGGTACAGATTTAAAATATCAAAATGTATATCACATTTTTTGTTCATCGTCGTAAATACATACAAATTGTTTAGGTACCTGGCAATTACCGCATTCAACTATATAAATTAAATGGGTTATTATTTATATGAATACATTTTATCTGAAATTATGATCCCTAGGGTAGGAAGGCGTGCTAGTTACGGTATTGTACCCATTTGAATTTCCTATGTGCACGGTCCACCGAATTTCATAGATGTTCACTATAATCATCATACTAAATAGTAGCACGTGACTTCCTATTGGAATATTTTTAGATGAAATAAAAACGGTTCATTGAATTTCTGAAATCTATTTTTTAACAATGTTCTGTTATACTTTCATAGAGAGAATGTTTGATGATTGTGGGTTGTTACACATGCATGCCACGGTTACTTGTCCTGAAATCAACAATACTATTTTGTTTTATTATTATCATGACCACCCTATGTTCTGTAACTTCTAAGATACAAAAATACATTTAACTGGGGGAAAGTACATAATGATATTCTTACGTATTTTAGTCATCATAACCTTCACTAAAATTGATTAATATTGAACGCTTTCGAATAATGATTTTAATCTAAGGCTTAAAATAACAGAATATTATATCCACGAACTGCCGAAGTATAATTTGAACATTATTGCTTTTAGTTAATTGAACTTTCCCTGATTATTTGTGACCCTAATAATCAGTTTGAAAATTAATAAAATTAACAACATTTTCACTAATGAGATTATATATTATGATATTTTCAATAGTTATTATTGGTGAAATATTAAAATTGTATATTTCTATATTCACATATTATGATTTACATTTAAGTTTTTTTTTTTTTTTTTTTGAATATATAGAATTCGTGTTTGATCAAATTTTAATAAGATTTTTAGGTTAACATTATAATTTTATAACTCCTCGCCATTTTTATCGTTTTTTATGCAATTAGAAATCAAGTCTACTGCGCCTAATAGTTTTTTTTCTTTTTATCAAATTACTCTTTTCTAGTTCAATATGGATATTGAACGTACATAGACTATGCAGCGAATACTGACGGAGTAATCGCTTATTGTATTATGTATTTTTACTCATTCGGTTCCCGACGGTAACTTCCCGTTACTATGTAATCGTAATCGTTTTTGAATCTAAAATAGTTTAATGGTGCAATATAATATGTACTCAAGTTCTATTCGTCTATTCAAGTCATGGCTTCACAAAAATATGTTTACCGAGCATTGACCCTTGTCCGTTTTAAACTAAATACATGACAAATTACCCCCGCAATAGCGAACGTTTAACTTTATGTTAGTAGTAATATCACATTTAAACACGCATCAAGTATTAAAAGTATAAATTAAATAAATTGTTTGAGACTTGCAATTTCTTTATTTATATGTTTATAAATTAAAAATGTAAGATGTTATACAACAATAAGTTAATCTATCTGTATAAATTATACTAACTCAAATCATTTTTATTTATTTATGTATAATTTAATGAATATGGTTTGGTTTCTAGTACGTAACATTTTTAACTTGATTAAAATAAAGCTTTTATATATTTGCTTTGCAATTAAACTTGTTGCAAATTATTATAATATTAATATTCATTAAAAAAAATATTTACAGTAAATAATTAAAGGTCGAATAAATTAATGGTTACTCGTGAAATATGATTAAATATGAGTCATATATTTTAATATGTGGTAAGTGATTCCTCTTATGTAATATATTTTATAACCTGGGGTGAATCCTTAAAGCCGAGGGTGAAATAATTGTTTGCGTGAAAACCCAATTTTATTTCCTGTGACATTTTATCGGGTCCATGATGAATAATATAATTCTTTAATGGTGGTATCGGCTGTGTTGATGACAATGAAAATATTGGACATGCCGTAAATTTTGATTATTATTATATTAATTTTTGGCGCAAACCATGTCAATGAACGTAAACATGAGCGATCTAGCTATATTTATTATTCTACAGTTGTCCAAATCTTTTTAAGTGAATGAATTCCCTCGAGCTATATTTGTTATCGGCGGATGTATTGGCCATTGTAATTTGATATACATACAATAACTATTAAAATTCTCTATTCAGTTTTTATAAAAAAAAAATAAAAACGTGCTTTAGTCAATCGATGTAATATTGATAATAACGGTGTTGCCGAATAAATGTAAAAATAGTATTGTATCTAAATTACCAAGGGTAATCACATAAATGAATACTTTTTGAATGTCAATTTTTTTCCACGAGTATATTCACCATTCATACATAGGTTTATTATGTAATATTTTATTTACCTAGGTATTATAGATTTAAAAGCATTTAGTGTTGATTCTGAAAATTATTTTTTAAACTCAGAATATATGAAATGAGTCTATCGTATTTTATAAGTTGGAAGATTTCAGAATTATAAATTATTTTTTTGAAAATTATATTTACTCTATAAATGTGTGTGTAACTGTCATTTATAATCTAAATTAAATTGTATAATTACGCATACCTGTTGTACAATATTAGTAACATTCAGCGGTGGATTGGCCCACCGGGATACGGGGAAAGTTCCCGGTGGGTCGGTAGTCGTATTATAACACTAGGCCGATGTACTTAGATTAAAAATTATTTTATAAAAATAATGTATTTAAGTATATTGTATTTAATTGTAAGATTGTGATAAAAACCCCTAGTGTAAACGTGATGTAAACAGTTCTACGAGCATTAAATCCATGAATAAAGAAGACTTTGATGGAAAACTATTATTATTGGATAGTGGGCCGGTCATACGGTAATTTCCCGGTCTGAAATATTTAGCCAATCTGACACTGGGATCATTCCTATTTTGCAAGCTAAAATAGTGTAAAAAAAACATGTACACAATAAATTAGAAATTCAATGTTTTCTGATCGATATGTTTGTTTTTATTTTATATTTAAGGTTTATTGAATTTACTACAAATTGTTTTTATATTTCCGTTGTGGCTGTACTGGTAGTTGTACATAGTTCAACCTACACTTAATTCAAGGCAAATTTATTCTGTTCAGTATTCGTTAGTTTTAGTTGATATTCGAACAAATGCATTGTATAAGTTCTTGATTCTTCAAAAGAACAAGTTATGTTATAATATAATTATTAATTAGTTAATTTGTTTGAATTTATCCTAAGTTTTCGCCTCCAAATGAATTTAAGGTATATTTATTATAAATTATAATTTCATATATTGAATATTTAAAATTGCTTTAAAGACATTAAATATATAAATTTTATAAATCCCAATAATTGTTATTGGTATTTATTTTCAACTACATTTAATTACATTATTAATTGTAATTTTCAATAAATTTTAATAAATAATTTTGTGTAGGATGATCGCTATCAAGTATTCCTAATAAGGCGAGGTCATTCAAATATCATCCAGTTTTCATTGTCTACCCACTTTTAATAACTATACTTCGATCGAGATTTTCCTTTTTAACATTAACTTTCGTTTTTATTTTCCTTAAAATTTTTTTATTGATTTCATTTTTTTTTTTTCGTGGATAATTCAACTAAATATTATGTCTAAATTACCTAATAGAGAAAATAAGACACCTCCTGGAGGTGTTTGTCATGATCTTTGGGGCGCTGAATTCTTAGGATCTCCATGTCATAATAGGCAAGTAATATTCTTTCAGTGTATATAGGACATTTATTACAAATAAATTTAACAGCCTATATTATAAAATAATTTCAATTTAGAAAATAATGTTTTTGGTGATTGATTAAAAATATTAACTTTAACATTAAAAATAGTTGCACAAATTATTGAATACCTAGTTGTATGATTAATAATGAAAACTAATAATTTATATGTGTATTTATAATAAATTATAATCATAATTTACAATGCATTTTGATTATTTATTAATTACTTAACACTTAACATTGTTAGATGTTATAAAAATGTTAGTACATACACAGAAATTCATAACTTTGTTGTGGGTTATAATTATCTTTAAAATAATGTTTTTTAAATATTTAGTAATGAACTTTAGTTATAATTATGTTAGAATTATTTGTATATTCAATTTTTTTAAATAAATGCAAAAATAATAATTTCATATTTATAATAAAAACGAAATAGTTTTTTAGCTATTAAAAATAAGAAGTGTATATTAAATTAAGGAAATACTGCTATTAGACTGAAATTCTTCTTAAATAATATAAACATATTTTACTTTATGATATAATCTTTCTTTTATGGCGTCTTGAAAATTTTTATGACTAAAATTCTTGGAATCATAGTATATCAAATATCAATTTTTTGAGATAACCAGTAAAAAATTAAATTATTATAAACCTTTATTATAATTGGCTCTATTTAAATTACAACTTGTTCGTTTTTCAAACATCTATTCATCATATATCCAGTGATTCCTACTACAGTACTATGCTCAAGTTAACTATATTAATATAATAGTATTGAACGATTAATTATTCAATATGTTTTTTAAATCATTTTTTTTATTATTGTAACATTTATAAGTAAAATTACTTTTGAGTAATGTATGTAATTTAATAATAGCAATAATATGATGTTAACTATATTTTTTTTTTTTTTTTTTTTTTAGGGTCTTAAAACCGCCAGGTGGCGGAAGTAGTGACATATTTGGTACAGCATCATGTGATGAAGTTAATCCACATAAACGTGGTACAAATCAGAAGAACCTCCAAAGTTCCATTATTTTGGGTGGTCAGTCTCCAACCAAAACTACTAATGTAACTGATACTACTGCAACCGATGGAAATTCTGAAAAATATGGTAATAATTTGTTATGATAATAGGAGTTGTTGAGTATTGAATTTATTGCTTTATATTTATTTTCATAAATTAAAAATGTATCTAATGAATTCAATATTAATGAACATTTATTTATTTATTTTATTTAATTGCTTGCATAACTTAGTAATCATTGTTAAAAAAAATATTTGTATGTATGATAACTATTTTAATGAGGATTTCAGATTTAATTTGTCAGTTTATAAATTAACTTTATTCACAGCGTATTTATAGATTTATAGGATATAAATAAAAAAAATTTAAATACACACTTGTTATTAATAAAATCTAAATCTGAATGAATAGAATCATGTGTTGATTTTAAATTAATAATTTTTTTCATTGTATCAAATCATTATTTTATAAATAAAAAATACTATCTTTTAAGTTTTTTATTCAAATAATTTTTAAATATTTAAACCGTAAAAAAAAACTATTAATTTAAAAATGTTAATTTATAGATTTTTAATATAGATTATTATTTTTAACATAATTAGTGGTTTTGCTTATCTTTTTGTTGCATGTTTTTTTTTTTATATAATACTTGCTTTTGTATGACTTTTTACGTGATTTGCTTGAAGCTTTTAACAATAAATTTGCTGCTACCAATAAAATTAATAATACCAATAACCATTCAAGAACATCTTTTAAAAGACAAGGTAAGTTATTTAATTAAAAATGAAAAAGATTTACTTAATTTAAATTATAAAAAAAATGGTAGTATCAGAACACCAATCAGTAGTATATAATTATAATTAAATACAATTATTGAAAGTAAATATATTTTACATTTTTGAGTTAGTTAAATGAAATTTATGAGATTTTAAATTAAAATTTAGAATTAATGATAATAGGTACATGTCATAAAATATTATCATTCATCTTGGAATAATTAATTTTTAAATGTAAACATTAAAATTGGTGTATCAAATATTATAAGTTTTAAATTAAATGTTGATGTATTTTATTGGTCTTTATTACTTAATCTCAATCCTTGTTATTCTTTCTTTTTTTATTTTTTTTCGGAATTTTGGTAGATAAATATGCAATTAATTGTTTGCTAACTATTTAATATTTTATAGATGGCAATCCAATAACTGGAGAAGGTTATGAAGCTCCTAAGCCGGCAGCTAATCCAACTCAGCATGTATCTGCACAGTCAGAACCAGCTCCAGAACAAAAAAAAGCAAGTCGTGTGCCACCAGGTGGTTACAGTTCTGGTTTATGGTAATAGTTGACATCAAGTATTCAACTATTATTTTGTCACAATTTACATTGCTTTATATTTGAACAATATATCGATGACTATTGTTCTTTTCATCGATAAATTCTTATTTATGATAAATAAGAAAATGACTTAATATGTATGATATCTAAAAATTATTACTATTGTCATTCTTAAAAACCCCTGCATTTTATTCGTTCTCATTATATAAAATGTTATTGTTTTATAATGTTTGTGAATTGAATTATTCCACAAAAAAAATTCATTTTTTTACACAATAAAATACTTTATTTATTACTAATTTCATTATGAAATAATTTGTTATTGTGAACTAACATTGGAATCCTAGAACAAATAATTATTTCTCCTAACATTTTTATATTTATTTTTATACATAGAACAATATTCACAGCTGTATTCCTGTTAAACAAAAGCTTTTAAATTTTAAAATAATACATTTATTAAAATTGTTCAATCATAAATAGCGTTAAAATAATTATAGAGAACATGATCTACCTAGGAAAATGTATTATTTTAAACCAACATAAAGATATGTAAAAGTAATTATTTTTATTGCTGTTAGTTATTCATTATACTAAGAAAAATGTTTACTTATCATTTTTAAACAGTGCATTATTTCAAATATAAATAATATTAGTTTATTATTACATTTTTAAATTAAACACAATCTCTAATTGTATGAATAATTTAATAATTACCTTATACAATAAAATGTATAGTTTACAAAATGTTAACGAGATAGAAATAAGTTAATTTTAGTTCAAAATTTCTATTGAAGGTTTTCCTTTCTGTGTTTTTACTGCTGGTTTTTTCCATAAATCAAGACAAGAATGGTGTTGTTTAGATTTTCGAAATACATCACAAGACAAATTTGTAGCTTTACAATAGGATAATTGTTTAGAATATTGTTGTAATATAAAATAATTATCACCAGTTGGTGCTGCTAAAAATTCACACCTTTGTTGTTTTTTAATACAGCAATATATTGCACCAGGATCAATCTCGAAATCTGACCTTAAATCTTTTAAACATATTTGAGCTCGTTCAGCAAGGATTCCTGTTACGTATAAATCGTCTATCCAAAAATAATCTTTAAGTTTAATTGCTCTCAACAAACGTTGAACTGAAGTCATTTTTGCTACATACAACCAACCGGATAAAAATGCTGGATATGTTTCTTCGGTAAATTCTTCTTTGCTCACATACCATTTATTATGTTTATCTCTTATTGGTTTCGTCTTAATTATACAACCAGCCAAATCGTAATTACTTTGGATGACATCTTTTAATTTGAATACGTTAACTGCTATGTCATCGTCCATTTTGACCATATAAGTTGAATTTTGACAAAATTCTGTAAACCAAGTCAATCCCATTACATGTTTGTAAGTTAAATTCCTATAGGCTTCTCGGAAGTTTCCCTGAACTATGTCGCCGAATTGAAACGATTCTTGGAGCAATCGTGATTGAACATCACTGCTGTTGGATAACCCAACCATAAATACATAACGGAAGCCCAAAGAATCTAAGACTGTTTTTGAATAAGATTGACGTAAAGCTAAGCGGAAGTCGAAATTCCCAATGTAACTGTGCACTATTATCGGCGTCGGATGTAATAATTCACAGACATCACTGTTGATAACGTATTTGAAGTTTTTTAAATTCATTAAACGTCGTGTGTTACGGTAAAACGTTTTCGGTTTAACGTCATGGTATGTTTCTTGGTTTGTTGAAAGCAAATTAAACAGTACTACGAATAACAAACTGATTAAGATAAATATTATAATTTTGTTTCTCCATAATGCCATCTGGTCGATGACGTCGTAGACGTCTGTTAAACTTATATGACATTTAACTATATAGGTACGTACATATATATTTACTGTTTACACTTACTTTACAGTCCACTTGATTAATACCGTCTCAAAGATTTTCTTATCACTAGCGAATATTAAATGATTTCTTGTCCTTGCAATCTCGTACTTCATACACAAATGGAGTATTATTTTTTGCAACATTACACATTTCAAACCACTTTCACTTTACTAAATTATATGACGAACCCCACCATTTCACTAACAATGGAGCAACCTGGTCATAATTCGTAGTGGGAACCAAAATCTCAACAAGTACACTAAATTCTGATCATAGGCGGCAATCGGGGAAAGGCTTGAGGGGACTAAGTCCCTCAGAAATGTAAAGTACAGGTCTTAGCCCCTCTAACACTAAAAATTGTTAAATAACTGAAAATACAATAGGTAATTATTATAATAATTATAATAAAATTATATAATTATAGTAAAATGCATTTTTAATAACTGAATTAAAAAAAAAATTATACAGTGATAAAAATTAAATCAAATTCTTAGGATTTTACTAACTTATTGTCATGACTTGGATCAGTGGTGGCCAAACTACGGCCCGCCATCATTGAATATCTGGCCCGCGAAAGTATTCTACATTACAACATTTATTTGCGTAACTGTAATATTTTACATTTACTTAAAAAAAAATTTTTTTTTATGGCCCGCGGTAAAAAAAGTGGAACAATATTATCTTTTGAACTTGGAACAATTGTAATTAATGGAATATTAATAAAATGTAATAATACCTCCATTGGTTGTTTAATTTTATTAATTAATAATTTTTATTTAGAATACCTACTCCAAAAATGTTTAAGATAAGACACCTAATTGATTTTTTGGTTAAATTGTTAAGTATGTCAACTTGTCAAACTGGAAATTGCCTTGTTGAAATAAATAAAGGAAAAAAAAAATAAAAATATTTGATAAATTAGGAAAGATTAATTAGAAAAAAAAGTAATTTGTTGCATTACCACAACTGGTATGTACTCCGCGCCTATATCCCTTAATAACAAGACAGGCATTTATGTCAATTTTATAATGGCATTGCATAAAAATAAAATCAGAGATTGGTAAGTACATCCACTATTATTGTTAGGACAGATGACTTGTAGCTCTAAAAATTCACCAAATATACACTTAAATATACAAAATACACTTTTAAAATATGCATTTTAAAATTAATTTTTTTTAATAAAAAATAAGAATTTTTCTGTAGGTACTTATTATAATGAATACATTTTATTTACAACTTTATTTAACAACTTACAATTAACTAATTGGTTTATTTTAAGAGTTTTCTTATCTGGATACTTAAAGTATTTTTTTTTAATAAATAGTAAATAGAACGTGTTTTGACTGTTAACCGTTGAGAGACAGGTTGACAGCGATTACTGAAATACGAATATGTTCGATGTCGGCGATAGGCGTCCCCGTGGCCCGTATCAATATTTTGTGCGTCGAACAATATTATCTCATCTGTCCATTAATAAAATTAATAACTCGACAATCAATCTAAACGACAACTCTCGAGACGTGTTTTTAGTGAAACCATTGATTATAAATAGTATTTATAATATTTATGTATTATAGTATTTATAATATGGTAAAACCATCATGAATCTGGGAAAAGTCAAAAACCATATTAATATTATGATTAAAATTTAAAATCATTTTAAATTTAACGTTATTTTGTTTGTATAAATAAATAAATAAAAACGTCGACGAAAAAATATTGATAAAATGATAAATTATTTAAAATACGCTTCTAAAAGTATAAAATGAAAGAAATATGCCCTAAAAACCAAAAAACGCAAAATATGCATTTATATGCACAATATAATTTCAAAACTAGCTTTGTGGAAGCATGAAACATATTTGTTTCGCACTCTGCTATTTTTATGACTGCGCAAAAAAAAAATGCAAATGCTATAAGTCCTCTGCTCTAATTATTATTAAGTTTGGACAATGTTAATCAATACATAAAGTTAGTGTTTTTATTATTAGAATTTAAAGAACAATGATTATCTGAAAAATAATACTTGTATATTAATATATGTATACATTAACTAGTTAATTACCCGGCTTCGCACGGAACATTCTTGGCCGTGGCACAGGTTTTAATGGATAATTATTTTACACTATTTAAAGCAAGTTTGGTGTAACTGTTGGTGGTTTTATAAAACAAATAAAACGAAAGTTCAAATGAATCAGTATTGTAATTTTGATGATACGCTAAATTACCGTATTTTCTGGTTCCAATATTTTTTAAGATCCCTTCTTATTGCATGTATTGAATATTGGAGAGACCACCATATCAAATTTTGAGTTCATATAGTTTTGAGATGTAGCGATGATCAATGAATGAGTAATACCTGACGTTGTCCGTCGAGAAAGTTTTGAGTGTTCAACTCTTTTTGGGTGTTACCGTTGAACCTATGCCTTTTTGGGCATAGCCCATTCGGCTCCCGTTTTTCCTAAACGGCTCTTGTCTTTTAAAAGGGTTAATTCCCTAACGACTCCCGCTGAAAAAGGTTTTACGAGTAGGTCAATTCCCAAACGGTTCTGGTTTTTTACAACACAAATTCCTTCCCATTTCATACAGACTTAGGAATGTTTCAAAAGAGGTGTGGTTAAAAATGTATTGTTGTTTTTTAAGGTTATATTCTAAATAAATTATAAAAATTATATTCTATGAATTAAATGTTAAAAAATAGAAAAAATATATAATTATTAATAATAATTTAATAAGTGTTCAAAATAAGTATTTAAAATAGTGTTATCGATGTAAAATATTTAATAAGTAATTTGATCAGGTTACTACTTAAATAAATAATTTGTTTTGTTGTAAAATAATACAAATATTCATATTAATTATGTCTTTTAAGTAATTATAACGTTTATTAAAGTGTTTTAAACTATATATTTCGATAGAAGAGTCGGCACCTTTATACACTTTTCTCGACTGACTATATTAATAACAATCAAAAACGTGATTTTAT